TTACCTGCAAGGAACAAAGGATCTTGGTTTCTTCTATACTAATCAGCCCAAAGAAAGTTTGGTTGGATATGCTGATGCACGATATTTATCTGATCCACATAATGCTAGATCCCAAACAGGTTATGTCTTAAGACATGGTGGAACTACAGTTTGTTGGCGGTCCATGAAATAGACCATTGTTGCCACATCGTCCAACCATGTGGAGATCTTAGCAATGCATGAGGCAAGCCATGAGCTTGTTTGGTTGAGGTCTATGACCAACCACATCTGTGTAGACAGTGGTTTGGCTGTGGGAAGAGACGCACCAACAGTCATCTATAAGGACAACACAGCATGTATAGCTTAACTCAAAGATGGATACATCAAAGGAGATAGGACGGAGCATATCTTGCCAAGTTCTTCTTCACCCAAGATATGCAAAAGGCTAAAGAGGTTCAAGTGGTTCAAGTACGTTCCAGCGACAATTCAGCCGACCTTTTCACCAAGTCCTTACCAACCTCAATGTTGAAGAAACTTATACATAAGATTGGAATGCGTCAACTGAAGGACCTTTAGTGATTCATTTATCAGGGGGAGTAATGTGTGTTGTACTCTTTTCTTAATCATTGTTTTGTCTCAATTGGGTTTTCCTAGTAAAGGTTTTAATGAGACAGCATTAAGTATGTTACAAATCCTGAATGGTTATGACATCCAAGGAAAAATGTTATAAACCATATAATGGATGGTCCATAACCAATTCTGAGGCCATAGGTTCATTTAGCCATATAGATCATAAGCAGCTAAGGCCATGTTTTTCCCTTTCCATGTATTAGTAGTTTTCCTAATCCTAGTTGTTTTAGGTTTTGGATACTTTCCTTTTCACATATCTTGTAACTCTTATATAAAAAAAAGTTTATGATCAATGAATAAAACAACATTTTATACCAATTCTTTTATTAGTTTACAATTAAAAGGACTTTTTAAGAGAAATATATATTGCAACGGAAACATGACGCATCTTAGAAAATGAAACTTGTCTTTTTATATATAGCATCAAAACTTCCGCAATGTGTAATACAAATATGACAATGGCCGAATAAATTTGTTAATCAGTCTTCCTCGTAGGTACCAAAGCACGTTTTGGAGAGTTTAGAGACTAATCGAAACTGATACGACGCATCTTACAAACAAGATTAGCTGTAGGGAAATCAAGCTCGCTACCAGCTTCTGATTTCATCACATCTTTGAGCTCATCTCTTGGTGTAGACAAACACGTCTGGAAAGTTGCAAGCACAGGCGGAATCGGCATGGACAAGGCCGCCAGCACATTGCTCAAGTACTCTATATCTACACACAGTTGTTGTGCTCCTCGGTCTGAAATGTATTGGATTCCTCTCAGTTGCTCCATGTACAGAGCCGTTGCCCCTTCTGCTACCTTGAACATCCACTCGGTTGCAAAGAACTGTGCGTCCTCGTTGTTTGCATCTCCGTTGGTTGAGATTCCTTCAGCTAGAGGCTCAAGCTGCTGAGGCAAAGTCAGGAGATATTCTCCAACGCTTGTTACGTAAGCCTGAGGGTATGAGCTGAAGTTTGGTAGATTAAAAGCAGTCTGTTCCTCCACTGATGACCAGATTGGTAGGCGCGACACTTCCCCTAGTCTTTGCCTGACTTTTGATATGAGGATGTCATAGACTAGTTCGTTCACTGTATCCGCAAATGCAGCCACTCTCTGCGATGCCAAAGGCAGTGCATGGAACCTTGGATCTTTTGACTGCAACAAAACAAGGGCAGAGGGAAATGATACAAATGAATGCTAGTAAATAATTATGACTGTGCTTTTTCAGTACCTGCTCCAACAGGTTTAGGAGTTTGCGAGCCTTTTCAGGAACATCAACCAACCGAATAGCTGCCACATCCAGGGAAGCTCGTCCAGCCATAGACAAATCTCCAGCTGTTTGTTCGCTTGTCAAATGTGAAAGGTTCTGATCCAAATTCGTGCCAAATAACGAAATCGACAAGCTGGAGTTTAGTCTAGCTAGAGTGGCTCTCAAAGAAGCTTCAAATACAGAGGACCTGCTTGTAAGGCAATCCGCTACAGTAAGTATTTGAAGAGCTCCCTGGACAATGGACCATTCCTCATTTGAAGTCAAGTCCATCTTGCGAGAGCTCTCCCTTTTCTCTGCACTTCCATCTTTCTTTGAGGTAACTCCATCACCTGTACCATCCACTCCAAACACAACTCTCAAAGATTTGAGTGTTTCCTGAAGCATAGAGATATACTGCAACATAATATCGTCTATTGCAAGTATCAGCTCGTCTGCCTCTGAGCCCCCAGTGAAACCGATACACCTCTCAACCGCAGCTTCAAGAAGAACAACAACTTGGGGAACAGACTCTTCCATTCTACGCACTGTTTCGCTGAGTTCAATTCCTTGAGCTCCAACACCACGTGTAACGGCCCCTCTTAGATCCACAACGGCGATCTCCGAAGAAAAAATAGCACGTTCCATCTTCCCATACCTAAAGCATGATCAATTCCAATGTCACAAGCAAGCCTTGAAGAACTACTGGAAAATGAGAAATGGACAGACGTGTTGAAAAGAGGACTACACAACATGAAAACTTACTTCTGCTTAAATGTTTCAAAGGGTGAGTACACGGCTTTCAGAGTATCTATTAAGACTCTAAGTTCAGATTCAGCAAACAGGTGCTGAATATTTCTTGCAAAGGACCCAGTTACGTTGTGCAGGTCAATAAGGGCTTCAAGATGCTTGGTCTGAATATTAATACCCTTGGGTAAGTCTCCGGATAATAGATCCATCACACCTGTTCAAGAAAAACATCAGAATTTTCAGTACTCCTCTCGTTAAACAAATACAAATGTAAGACAAAGGAAATATTTCTTATATGTCTGGGGGATTTGCAATCGCTAAACGATTAGCGAGTAAGTTTAATAACAAAACTTTTCCAAACGTTGCTGCTAAATTGACCGATTAACAAATATGGCAATTTTGCACTGAACAAACCAGACAAAACACCAAGGCCAGTAGCTCATGTCAAAGCAGAAGAAAACTGATCCTCTGCTATCTACTTATCTGGCAAAGCATGCTGATAGCAGAGTAAAACCAACATGAAGCAAGTAACCCCAATCATTCTGGGTACAAGACTAAGAAGGAAAATCTGACCTTTGGCGAGTGCTTTTGTTTCAGGAACAGAATCTCCTGTTGCAAGGTTAAGACGAGAAACAAAGCTAGCCCCAAGTACTCCCATGGTCTCAACCAACAGCTTTGGGACGAGAGTCATGTAGTCATCAGGGAAGGCAACCATGCACCTGAACAATCATGAAAGAAAAATCACATGATCGGGGATAAAGGTCTGACATAGTGTTTATGAAAGCCAAATCACATGATTGGGTCTTAAGTTACAGTAAAAAAGGTACACAATTACCATTTCCACTCCTGCTCAAGATAGAGTAGCAACTCGTCGTAAAAGCTTGGCAGCCAACTGGCAAAGGATGTCTGAGTTGATGTCAATTGAATCTCATCGCCGCTAGACAGCCTTTGGTTTTCACTTCTCTCACTGGCAAGCTTGTTAGCTCTTTGCTTTGTGTCGAAATCATCCCAGAGTTGTTTGATTGGCTTTAGACGGACTTTTGAATATTGCAACTCCAGAGACTTGAATCTCCCAATCCGGATGAGAATTCCTCGCAAATCTTGGGCAACATCAACCTGCCAGATTTGTGGAAAAAGGCTTTTCAGTCTTAAACTAAAAGCAACAAAGACAAAACCAAAATTATATGGGGTCTCGAAATAGTTGGGTACCAACCTTGTGATATGTTAATGCATCAGTAAGACGTGGCTGCACCATTGCCTCCAGCCTATCCTCCAACACTTCTAGTTGCTTTCTAACATTAGCAAATTCTGCAACCTGTTGATCAAAATTTTGGAGTCGAGTGAGTGATGATAAAAGACTAAAACTCAAGTTTGGTATCAATACTACCTCTCCAACAGCAGACAAGCAATTTCTCATGCTGGCAAGAGTTTCTGCAGCACGAGGAAGATCGCCGCTAGCGAAAACATCCTCAACCGTCGAGCTTAGCTGAGTTAATCCAGCAGCATCCTGTCCAATGTCCATACAGCAGAGGAGATAAAATCAACTGCTACAGGATGGATGGATTCACCAAAAATTACAGACCTGTAGTGTTTTGTAGGCAGCCTCCATCCTCTGTTTGACACTGTCCACTCTAGCAAGTGTAGCTATACAATCTGCTGATGATCCCTCTGCCTGCAAGTACCAATTCTTACTGAATCAGATCATTTGCAAGAATCTATCATCTAGCAGGAATATACTTGTGATCTGATTTTATATATAACACTGTTCACTGTGGCGCTACATGAGATCTCAGTTTCAGTCTCTAAAATAGAACAATGCAAAACCTTCTTGAGCTTCTGGAGGATTCCGGCAACTGAACTACGCAGAGACACCGCGTCGTCACGGAGGCGCAAGACGTCGCGTGTAGCGCGAGGGACGCGGAGGAGAGCGCTTCCGCTCTGCTCTTCGAGAGACGATCCGATCTCCTCGGAGGCGATCTGGAGCTTCATTTCCAGATCCACGAGGTGTTTCTCGAGCGAGTCCTGCGGGTGACGCGCTTGGCACGACGAGTTAACCCACCGCTTCGCATCGAACTTCTCATCTGAGAAGGGACCCAGATCCAGCATCATACCTAGCTCTCTCTCTCTCTCCAACTTCGATTTCGATTCCGATTACGTTGAATTGAAGAATATCATCAAGGCATCTATTAGAAGAAACAAACTGAACCAAATCAATCTAAACCGACTTTATATACGGTTTAATCGGTACAAAACCTAACCGTAGATAAATTTGATTAGGTCCAAATTGTCCTTATACGTATTTTACTTGTCAGCCACGTACTTCTAGAACCCTACTTTGTCTTTTGCCTATATTAAATCATCTCTCATAAACACTTTTCTCTTGCTCTTAGCTTCTTCTCTTTTCTGAAAATGGCGTCAACATCATGTCTTGCTCTCAAGAGACTTCTCTCTTCCACCCTCGTCCCTCGATTCGTTCCTCCGGCGGCTGCTTATCGCCTCTTTAATACCAAATCAGGTAATCGTGTCTTCTTCTCTCGTTTGTTATTATAACGGATCTGAATCTATTTTTCTTTTATGTGATCCCCCACGTGGTTCAATCCCTAGAGGACGAAATCGAAGTCCCTATGGTAGTAGCAACAGGTGGAAGACTTGGGTGGAATGTGAAAGAGAAAGAGGATGCGTTACTCGTGAGCATCGATATGCCGGGGCTTAGCAGAGAGGATGTGAAGCTTTCTTTAGAACATGACGCACTTGTGATCAAAGGAGAAGAGGGCCAAGGACGGAAGTTTTCAAGCAGGATAGAGCTGCCCAAAGAAGAATACAAGGCGCATGAGATAAAGGCGAAGATGAAAAACGGCGTGTTGAAAGTGGTGGTTCCTAAGATCATACAGCCAGCCCCTAACAATGCTCTCCACATTCAGGTCGACTAGACTTTTCTCTCCATTGCTTCATTTAGTGAGATACTAAACGAGTCGTTAGTCTCTTTCTCTTTGGCTGGTGCAAAGGAAATTACGGACCTTTTTCGGGGACAACATCTTCGATACCCATCCTCCTCATCACTCAATCTCCTATACCCACGAAAATCTCTTATACCCATATTTCATAATTCTTTTTTTGATCAAAACCTAAACTCCTAAATTAAATCCTCCCCGATGTTCAAAACTAAACAAACCCCCACCCCCCCAATGGATGGGTGAACCCATGGGCAAATATTTAAATTCTATAGCTTTCAAATTCGGAAAAAAAATAATTTAAAATCGTTTTTTAATCATATTTTGATGATTTTCGTGAAAATACGAAAAAAACGTTTTTTGATTTTTGAAATCATTTTATCAAATTCTATAAATCAAATAAAAAATATTCACGTTTCAAGTTTAATTTTATGTTTTTCGTTCAACATATAAAATTAAAAAAAAAAAGCGTCTAAGATAGATTGAGTGATGAGGAGGATGGGTATAAGAGATGATCCCCCAAAGTTATTCCTTATCTTTCCTTTTTGCTGCTATTAACCTTGTATTTTAATTTGGGGTTTTCCGGCCCTACGCGCCAGAATTCGATGATAATATATGTTCTAGTGAAATTTAAACTAATTTTATGTTCTTGGAAAATAAAACATTCATCCAACATATGAAGATGGATTAATTTTCTTTCACTCCTGCATTATTATTTAAAAGTCGTTTAAAAAAAAATTGAAATTCCTATAAATGTATAATAATATATTAGCATTTTATTTCAGAGTATTTTGTAACACTTTGTATTAATATTTGTAGTTTTTCAAAGAATTTAGGCAGTCTTATTATGGTTTATTTTCTCTCTATATCATCCTTCTCTGAATCCCAATTTTTTTTTTTTTATTGTCAATCCCAATGAACAACAAATGCTCATCTTATTGATTTTTCTACTTTTGTAGCTTTTTCTGGTAAAGTGTAGGCGAATAGTGGGGTCATGGGTAATGTACCTCTCCCTCGCTTCCACAATGTGTGATCATTCCTTTGAATTAGAATAGTGGGGTCATGGGTAATGTACCTCTCCCTCTGCCTCTCAGGAAATCATCTCAATCTTTTATTATTCTCTTTTTGGGGATGCCGAAGGAAGGAGAGAAAGAAACCAAAATCACCAAGACTTTTACCTTTCAGATCTGAAGGAGGAATCCGATCCAGTGTATACCAATCCCCAAGACAAGCAAATCAAGTCAATATTAGGTTGGAGGTCAGCTTTGCTTCCTTCAAACATTCTCAGCAAGTGCAAACATAGTTGACAGGTTGATCCACTTTAGTATCTCTAGTACTTCTGCAATCAGTAAATCTAAGACTGGTCTAAAGAGTGGTTAGATGACAAGTAATAAATCGAAATAGATCATCATCCCTTTCTTGACTCAATAAAAACTTTTTGAAAACATTCTAAATAAGACTCATAAAGTAGATAAACGTTAGTAATCCCCCCAGACTTAAATTACACTGTTCCTAGTGTAACACAGTCGGTGGTAAAATGAAAATCAAAAAGCAGAAGTACAAAATTTAACAAGTAAGAACGAAAACCTGCTCAGTGTCGATCGACACAATGAATTTACAATCGATCGTTGTTGATGAAGTGTTGTCGATCGATGTCAACATGGTCGCGTCGATCGATGGATAGAGAGATCATTCGACACAAAGAAGAGACAATCGTTCGATGGATGTGAAGTGTTGTCGATCGATATCGAGGTGGCCTCATTGGTCGATTATCATGGTAATTATTTAAATAACAGCCTAAGATTGGTGGGACAATAAACCATAAGGAAAATATTTAACAAAGAAATATTGTATACCTGCTTTGATGTGAGTATCGATCAACACAGTTAAGTGGCGATCAATACTTGTGATGATCTTTCGAGTGACACCGGCCGGTTGTCTTTCGATAGCTGGCACAGAACCCATATTCCCCTTTACCTAATATAAATAAAACACTAATAGTCTAAAAGTTAGTAATAGATAACTAATAAAACCAATTTTTTTTTTTTAGAAAACAAAATATCAGTAATAAATGAAAATAAAATCATATTTAAAATCACCAAACAGTGGGTTGCCTCCCACTCAGCGCTTATTTTTAGATATTATATGTTTTAGTCAGATATATCATATCTGATTCAGTTCGGATGAGAATGAGAACTTGCTCCAATTCAAGTCTCAATATCTACTATTGGAAGCTTTATCATTCTTGTGTGAAAACCTCCTCCATAGACTTTTCTCTTTTGTCTATCATCTCAGCAATAAGGAGTGCTTTAAGCTTTGCATATGGATGTGAGAAGCATCTGCTGCGCACTCTTGATTTTCTGATACTCAGAAAAGTAAGGAGTCAATGGTAATTGAGAACCTCCTTTGGTTCGTTTCCGCTTCTTCCAATTTCTCCCCCTTTTCCCCACAGACTTGTGTAATCTCACTCTGGGTTACATGACATCATCTGAGAAGTGAAAAATCAATGATAACTGAGAACCTTCATTGATTTTTTTTCTCTTCTTCCAATTTCTCCCATTCTTTCCCCCAGACTTGTCTGAATGCGTGGCGGTATCTCCATCAAAAATATTTCCACACACTACATACTCATTCTGCTTTGATTCCCGTCTGGTGTCGATCGATGTACCAATGGTAGTGTCAATCGATGGTGGATTGATCATGTCGATCGATGGTGTCTGGTCACTGTCGATCGATGCTTCTTCTGCTAGGGCTTTATCGACTTCATCTCTAAATCTCAACCCTCTCTGTGAAACTTTGATGTGCTGATGATCATCTAATACTCCACTATAGGAACTTAACTCCATACTTTTATCTGCTGGGATAGGAGATTCAGCCTCAAACACCGCATTTGGAACCATAATATTAACAGGATCATGTATCCTTTTCACTCTTTTGTGAAACCCATCAGCTTCTCCTGTCCAAATCTGTGGTCTCTGATGTTTAGGGACAGTAATGTGCTAGGCTTCAGAATTATGCACTATCTCCTCAACTGGTTCCAGCTTGACTATGTATCCTGGCAGTTCATCTAACCATGGTTGTCGATCGATACAGTCGGGTAGGTATCAAACGATGCAGTCGGCTGAATGTAGATCGATGTTAGACGGTGACTGTCGATCGGTGTCGTAGGGTGGGTGTATATCGATGATGCAGGGAGGGCATCGATAGATCTCATCAGGTTGGTGTCGATCGATGCTAGCCTTTGATGAAGTCTCTCCATCTTTCCTCTTAGCATTCTGTTTGTCATCAAGCTTCTGCTCCAAATTCTGATCTATATCCTCAAGCAATTCCTTCAGCTCCAAGAAGTCTTCAATAGTAACTCATTTACTTGAATCCAAATATCCAAGGTCCTCTCCATTCTCTATGTTTACAACCAGTGAAGGAGAAGAACTTGATACATCAGTGCTTTTCTGTTTCGAGTCTGCAGTGTCCTGAGGACAATTCGAACATTCAGGGATTTCAAGTGGTATCGATCGATGACAGAAGTCTTTATCGATTGATTCTGAGATGTTGGTGTCGATCGATGTGGAGGTCGGATCTTTAATATCAGCGTCTTCTACTCTGCTCAGTTCTCCAGACTCATCTTGTTCATCCTCCTCAAACAAACTATGGTTGACCAAATATTTTCTGTTCAGTTCACTCCTCTGCGTACCTTCATCTGCAAGTTGAACCTGAATGTCTAACTTGTTGATGTGGGTGCTAATGGTTTCAGATTCTTTCTGTGGCTCAATGTAGACAATCATCCTCTCGTGACCGAATCGAGATCTAAATTCCTCCTCACTAGCCTTAGTCATCTCGTCAAGCTTCTTTTGTCGCTCTGCTGCACCTTGATAGAGAAATTTGTTGAGGAAGACAGTTTTTATGTCCTCTCAGCTGGTTAAAGATCTTGGCTACAGCTGACTGAACCAGCTAAATGCATTTCCGGATAGTGAATAAGGGAAGATCTTGCAGAGAATGTGGTCTGCAGATATTACTTTATGTCTGGTTGCTGAAACTACCTCCTCAAGTATCCTGATATGATCTCTGGGTTCCTCATAAGGAAGACCTTGGAAAGGGTCCTCGCTTACCCAATCATACCACTGGCTACTTAGATCAAAGGTATCCATTTCTGGAAAAGCAATCACATCAGGAATTATTGCTTCTTCTCCATTAATTAATTATCCTTTAATGTTGCAAGGACGACCTTCTTTGTCTGGCCAGATACCCTTCTTATAGATCTTAAGTATAAGCTCGTCAACCTTTTCTGCCTCCACACAAATGGTGTCGGTCGTCGGATGAACAGTACCATGATGAACAGTGTCTTGTGATCAGTGTCGACCGATGATGAAATCATGGTATCGATCGATGAAGGGTGAACGATATCGTTCGATAAAAAGATTGTGGCATCGGTCGATGTAGAAGTTATGGTGTCAACCGATGTAGACGTCATACCACCAGTATTGTTTTCTTGTTCATCATCCTCCACCACATATCTTGTTGATGACTCCATTTTTAGATTTTCTGGAGTGTCATAGATAAATTCGTTGAAGAAGGCTTCCGCGATATCAATCCATGTATTGAGGGACTCTGGTGGCAACTCTTTGAACCAACGTCTTGCTTCTCCAGCAAGAGTGAATGGAAAGAGTTTGTAGAAGTGGTAGTCTTCAGGGACTTCATCAGAGCTAGACCAGATTAGGTCTTCAAACATATCAGTATGAACCATTGGTTGCTCGTCATGATAACCATGAAAGAGACGCTGACTTATAATAGGGATGTACTGAAGTTTCAGCTTGGAGTAAAAAATTTCTTCCTGTCCTCAAACGGTGTCGGTCGATCTTGGAAGAACAGTATCGGTCGACGCGCGATTAGCAGTGTCGATGATTTCAGGATAACAGTATCAATCAACACGGGATGTACCGTGTTGGTCGATTTCTGGTGGGCAGTATCGGTCGACGCGGTGTGAGCCGTGTCGATTGATTTCGGGTGGGCAGTATCGGTCGATGCGGTATGAGCCGTGTCGATTGATTTCAGGGGAACATGGGTTTTGTAGTTTTGCAAAGGCAATTTTATTTGTTCACCTTTATTCAATGTGGAATGGATTGTAACAAGGATTTTGGTCCCATGTTTATTTTTATTTTGGCTAATTGCATTGCTTATTTTACCTATTGGTTCAATTTGGACTACTTCCTGATTA